AACTGTTTTTTGGGCAGGTTCAAAACATATTGCAATCTAAACTTTATGTGTACAACTTGCACAACCGATTCCACCATGTCAATATGTATTAGTCCAATAATCACCTTAATGACAGAACTATGTGTAAGACTTCCCTGGGATTTAATAGGTTCAGTATTAGTCAGATTATTATTGTTTTTTTAATTGTTAATCCCAAAAAGGGAAATTAATTATATTTATTTATCTCATCACGCATGTGATCAGAGGGCACACAGTAGGACAAATGTCTGCAGAGGCAGATGGTGATGCTTCATCTTTCCCACCGAGATACGTTGAGCTTGTTTTGGGGGTCGGAGCTTGTTACCTCATGATCCCAAGCTCTTCTTCTCTAACCACTGCACCATCCCTCTACCCAAAATGTTTCTGATGAAACACACACTTGGTGCTCTGACCCTGGCTCAAAAGATGGCTATTGGGACATGGAATGTCACCTCTCTTGTGGGAAAGGAGCCTGAGCTTGTGTGTGAGGTTGAGAGGTACCAACTAGATATAGGTGAGCTCACCTTGATGCACATCGTGGGCTATGGATCAGTATCAATCAATTCAATCAATTCTCAATCAATTGAGAGGGACTGGACCTTATTCCACGCTGGAGTTGTCCATGTTGAAAGCTACTGTAGTTAGTGTAGGACTACTCTAAGCCCCCCGGCTTGGTGCCTGTGCATTGTATATGAGAGAGTAGCTTCCCTGTCCCTTTGGGTGGGGGTATGGGCTCTGACGGTTGTTTGTGCCTACACAGCAAACAGCAGTTCAGAGTACACAATCGTCTTAGAGTCCGTGGCAGGGGTGATGGAGGGTGCGCCAACTGTGGACTCCTTTATTCTGCTGGAGGACTTCAATGCCCATGTAGGTAACAACAGTGTGAATTTAGTTTTCTAGCTGATTAGTTTTCATTTCATTGAATAACAACATTTGACTGTATTTTAAGCTGTGTATGTTTTTTTTCTCATACTATTCTGATTATGTAATATCGTGTTACAAAAAACACAAATGAAAATTTAATATGTATTGCATGAATTGAATAAATGAATGTGAATAAAGTATGAATGACAATAAATGTACTAATAAATGATTGTACATGAACAAAGTACCTAAATAATTAAAATTATTTTACACCACTAAAAATAATTCCTATTGGGAGTCTCATTAAAAAACAGTGCATGAGTTCTGACCCGAACATGGCAGTGGATGAAAGGATTTCTCAGCAGCTGATGACAAACTGATTCTGCCGTCTTGCGCAAAGTGGGATCTCCTGCGACATCACAGCTGTGTCCAAGCTCAGCTGCATCACTGCAACCCTGATGAAGACACAATGCATCTTTATTACTGGATGTCCTATTTAGTGTTCAACAAAATATTAGAGACGTTAAACAGAAGTCAGCATTCACATCAGACATGACAGCAGAACTTATTGATTTCCTACAACCAGATGGTTTGTTGCATTTTATACTGGTCGTTGAAACATGTGAATTGTAATGCAGCATCATGATTACTTTTAAAAGAACTTCTAGAAAGACAACACGTACAAAGTAAAAAAATTAAAAAGTGGTGATAAAACCCATGTTAATAAGAGTAGTAAAATGCATTCAGTGCGGTACAGTACTTCACTGTGCTGGTCCGGAACTTTCCACGAGTTGCCAAAACTGGCAGCATACAGCGATACAGTTCCCATCATTGTTGTGAAATCATCTGTAGTAACCAGACACAGACATGTTGCTTATGACTTACAAAAAGGACGCAAAATGTATCAACAGCAACTGGAAAATAAATAGTTCGTGACTGACAACATATTGAATAAGCATATTTGTGTGTGTTCTCACCACTGGCCATGTTGTTGTAGATTCCACACAGCCCCTTGGTGGATCCAAAGTGCTCAGCAGTGACTGTTACATACACTGTATTGACAAGGTCAAATTTTACTCTCACTCCCAGGCCGCTCTCCACAAACACAAAATCCCCAAGCCAATAGACGCTAACTCCTGCAAGAAACAATGATGTGATGATTATGATTTAATCAATTATGTCTATAAGAAATTATTTTATTGTAGGTATTGTGCAAAAGAAAAACTGGTTTTGTTTAACTAAGGTTGATTTACTGAAATTCAGAAAGTAATAGATGGCATTAGGCTTCTGTTGCAATGTTTTTGTATTTTGACACATGTTGGTGTATTTTGATTTTTTTTTTCTTAACATGGGTCAGAAGTGAAGAAAGTGAACATAGATTTTAAGTCTTGCTTTGTGACAAGTGTAGTAATTGCTATGTATTACGTTGTTACATATATCGTGTATGAAGGGTGAGACAGTTACAGTTTAATAAGACCAAAGCATAGCAGATTCTCAACTAATGTGACTTATAGTTTTGTTGGTGTTCCATTTTGTTCTTAAATAAATTCAATTCAATTCAAAAATACTTTATTAATCCCAAAGGGAAATAAATAAAGCATTGGTGCCACATATCTGTGGTGTTCAGCAACATATTTTTGGCTTTTTTTTAAATTCACTAGCTCTCTAAGGAGGCGCATTCATTCCTTCCCGCTCTCTGTCTTCCTCCTGTTTTTTTTTTTTTTTTTGCTCTCTTTCTGTGTATCGGAGCAGCTCCTATTTTTTACAAATCTCTCGAAATGGAAACTACTGTTTTGGATCTGACCAACTGGACTTTCGACATATATTACAAAATCTTTTCAACAAAGCAACAGGGTCCTGGAGAA